TTTTTATTTGTCACGTAAAACCTAAAACTGTAATGAGCAATTTTGGCAACTGCCAAATCAGCCTGGCGTCTAATATCACACTGGCTGGCATAAGACATTGTAATACAATTGGGGTTAACTCTCCATTGGCTGGATAATTATAGTGAAGAAGTAAAGTTTTAACGAAAAGCCTGATTATACAAGTAATATTTGGTCACGGTGCTACAGGAATTCTAACCAAGGAATGATAAATTCTTAACCTATACGAACGTGGGAGGTCTGTGGTTCCCCAATACACCAGACTAAGACGGGATATGATGAACAAATTGGTGACACAAACTCTTATCTAATAATGATAATAAGAATAACTTTAAAATGAAAAAAGAATGAAATACAACTACGAACACTTCTCTTCATATTTCACACAAACTTTGTCACCACGACTAGCATCAACAAGGCTTACAATTACAGGTAGATATTTCTAGCAATGGTATTCTAATATTACAATATCATAATCGAGTTCCCCAAACTTAAGAATCAAAATCTAGATTTTTGGTGTTTGCTTTTGTGGTTCTTGGGAATGGTTCTGATAAATGTTTAATTTTACATCCAATGCGTTAGACAATTCGCTGTGCACCTGGAATTATTAAAAATATATTTATTTACCCTTTTTACTTAATTAAAAAAATATTGAAAATGGTAACAGTAAATATTGGAAGAGGATACTATTCCCAATATTTCCTGTAAGTAGAACAAGGTATATAATAAAGTAGGTGTAACATGGAACATCTATATTGTTAATTATATTGCAGAAGCAAATGAACTTTCCTAACATCCTGTATAACGAGTATATATAAAATTCATATAAACTGACATATATTACCTGAACCCTCATACGGATACATATATATTACAGTATAGTATAATGGAAATATACATCCATTTGGAACATTAAACTGATTGAGTAAATTCTTCTTATTTTCTTTACGGGAAATATTCAGCAACTTGTTGATCATCAGAAGCTTCAATAAACATCTACTGAACAATAAAGCAGATCGTTAATTACATAAGAACATAAGAAAATAAGGAGTCTGCAATAGGCCGGTTGGCCTGCTCATGGCAGCTCCTGTCGAGAGTTACTACCACTCTCTATCATCCATGAATCTATCTAGCCTCCTTTTGAAACTTTCCAGAGTTCCCGCACTTACTACAAAGTTGGTAAGCTTGTTCCACTCGTCCACCACCCTATTTGTGAACCACTTTCTTCCTATCTCCCTCCTAAACCTAAACTTATCCAACTTGAATCCGTTGCTCCGAGTCCTATCCTGCTCGGATATTATAAGAACTTTATCTATATCCCCTTTATTGATTCCTTTCACCCACTTAAATACTTCTATCATGTCTCCCCGCACTCTTCGTCTTTCTAGGGAATGCAAGTTAAGTTTCTTTAACCTATCCTGATATGGAAGGTTTCTAAGTCCCGGAATCATTTTTGTCATTCTTCGCTGCACCGACTCTAGTGAATTTATATCCATTCTATAAAAGGGGCACCAGAACTGAACCGGATAATCGAGGTGCGGCCTGACTAGCGCAAGATATAGTTGCAATAAGACCTCTGCACTCTTGTTACTTACACTTCTAGATATAAAACCCAATACTCTGTTTGCCTTATTTCGAATATTAATGCACTGTTTTCTAGGCCGTAGGTCCGGGCTTACAAGTGCCCCTAGGTCTCTTTCACAAAGCGACTTCTCTAGGTTGATGTTGTTAAGGCTGTATACATTATAAGTAATTGAATTATGTTAGAAAATTTTCTATGAATTATATTTATTACAACTAATAGTTCACTAAACATATTAATATTTTGTATTATAAGTTTATTATTTATCATCATAACCAAAAATAGATTATGAACGTCGGGCCTGTTGATGGTTTGATCAATAGATATGAGGAGCGAATGATGGAAGAGACTGAAAATCAAAAGAAGACATCGTACTACTCTATGAATATTACTTTAATTTGTGATTCTATTGATAAAACAGGTAAATTTAAATAATAATGTTAAAATTATTAATGATGAGGTACTAATTATGTTACTAAAACTGAATGAGCCATTGCTCTTAAATAAAAATTCGTGTCTGGCAACGCCACATGGTTGGGAGGAAGGGTGGGTGAGAAAATATATATTTTAATTAACTGTTTATAAAATATTAATTTCTAAGGCAGACTTTATTATTACCTAAAGCAACTGCACACAAGAGAGATAATTATGATTACTTTCTCTAACATACAGGATAATAATTGATATCTACAATAATAATAATAATGATGATAATAATAATAATAATAATAATAATAATAATAATAATAATAATAATAATAATAATAATTATAATAATAATAATAATAATAATAATAATAATTTCATACATGTCATCTTTCTATACATACAGGGTTTATGAAAAATTAAGAAAAATAAGGTAAAATTTTCTGATATAGACATTTTATAATAATAATAAAAAAGATTTAATTACACAAGAACCATATTTGTAATTTAACGTGACGAATTATATGAAAATGCAAGAAATAATTTATTGGTTATGGGTCGTTATTCATTCGGAATATATTAAAATCATCTATAATTCTTACATTTTAACGTCATACGATTTCTTTTCTTCGTGATAAGTCTCATGACTTTTGGAAGAAGTTAGTAGGTATTAATGAGTTTAAATTATTTAGCTCTGTGTGAAATTTTATGCACCTTAGACACATGATAGATAATTGCATAAGTTTAAAGATATGCCCTTCACTATTACGACAACTCAAACACATTCATGAATAGAATCCAACGAAATACAATAATTTTATTAAATGTATACAAACACAAAAGTTCATTTGGACACATCATTATATATACCTGAGTAAATAAAACAAAATCTTATATAATTCATATTAACCGTCTGTTCCATCAACAAAAACAACGAAAATTTGTGGAGCGGGTTGATGACGAAAGAATGATGTTGCTGAATTAAATCTTTACAATGGTACTACTCGCTCTAAGGCCCATGTAACCGGTGAGGGGTCTCCGGGGGAGGTATACGAGCTCTCACTATCATATCTATCTTTTCATCCAGCTCGCTTAGGAAGTTGGTCATCACAACACCAATATGGTAAAGGTTTGTGTAACGTAAAACTTTCATTATTTTCTTATGAATGTGAAGTTTCTGGTTAGACTTCAAACACATGTCGTTTACTTTCTATATGATAGATAATATTTCTCTGTGCAGCTAAACATACTCGAGAAAAACAATAGTGTAATCTTCATTTACTTTTCCTAGTTTACATCACTGTCGAGCTGTGTGTTTCGTATGCCTTAGCAGGGCCGGATTCAGGAGTGGGCAAAGTGGGCAGCTGCCCAGGGGCCTTCACAATCTGGGGGCCTCCACATGTACGGTAGTAGCTATATCAGGGCTGGTCGACTTGAAACCACATGAATGACTCCAGTCATGTCTCAATTTTGTGTGTTTGTGTGTGTGTGTGTTGGCAATTTGTACACTATCAATAAATTTACAGTTAATTAAAAATTTCTCAATGTTCTAATTTCCTCAATATAACTGCATATGGCTTCAAAATTCTCCAAAGAAGTGTTCAAATTTCAAAATTTTCCCGGGGGGCTTACAGCGCCCCCCGGAACTTCCAGATGTTTAGGTTCGCTTCATTCACCACCCCACATGGGCCTCCACAGGTCTAAATCCAGCACCATGCCTCAGTACTCATAGTAGTAAAACATTATTAAAAACACATGGAACTTCTCTTTACAAAATCAAGTAAAAGTTCATGGAAGTTCAACAGTTTCACAATCTTGCAGTTTACAATATGAATAACAAGATAATCAATCCCCATCTCTACAATGACTTATCCCTTAACTACGTTCACTTACCCTTTTAATACCAGGACTTATTTCTATGAAGCAGATAATATTGTACACACGGATTTAAGATATACTAACCAAGTGGACGTAGATTTCTATCCAATATTACTTAAGTAAAAAAAGCAATAATATAATTTTTAATATCATAATACATGGTGTTATCTTTACATCAAATAAAATAAATATAAATTATAACACAGAAATTTAGTCAAATATTAACATCTACAAGTTTTATGTATTCATGTCGACAATGACATCTAAATGCTATGAACTGAAGGATCTCTTGAACATTGTAATTCTCTGCATCTTAATGACATCATCTGTTCTCTGTTCTGTTTAAAAGTTCCACATAATTAACTAATAATCGTCAGCACACATTTCGGTTTCGATTAAATGGATGGGATGACTCTTAATGGTATAAAATGCGTGAAGTTCAAAACAAGTAATTGCTACAACTGGTATTCACAAGTGTAAAATTTTTCAGATTTCTTTATTTTATTTTAGGTTATATTAGGATCAGAGCCAGCTAGGTTAACGTATAGTGTAGGTATGTTAGTTTAGTTTATACCACTAGTTATTAAGTAAGCTTAGGTTATTTGGGCTAGGTTAATAACAGATTTGGTTTGAATGAGATAGATTAAATTAGCTTACGTTAGTTTAGGGGCACATTTGGAATTCGTTAAGATAAATTAATTTAGGTGTGTTTAGATTAAGTTAGGTTTGGTATGGGCAAGTTTGGTTCGTTTAGGTTAAGATAGACGTGGGTTATATTAGGAAGGAAATAAGGTATAATACGTAAAGATAGAAATAATGTGGTCTGATTGACTTACTGTAAGTATGTCCAGGTTCCAGGTCTAGGCTTCAGAGAGTCCTAAATAAATCATTCCTGACCAAGTTTGAGAAAATATGCTTAAAGCATCGTTATACACAAAAGCACATTTAATATGAGGATAATATGTATTAAATTGATTATGAGATATATTTTTTTGTTTATCATAGAACTTATTTGAAATTTTGCTATGGTTATATTACTGTTTTATAATCACATTATTTTTATAACTGATTTTCTACACAATTTCAGAAGTTGGTGTTAGTGTCCTTGGGTGTGGCTCTCATGACGGTGTTCAGCTCGGCCATGCCGGGTGGACGTGGGGGTGGCGGCGGTGGTTATGGCGGAGGTGGTGGAGGCTATGGTGGTGGTGGTGGCGGAGGTTATGGGGGTGGTGGCTGAGGCTACAGTCGTGGTGGCGGGGGATATGGAGGTGGTGGCAGCGGCGGCTATAGTGGAGGAGGTGGCGGCTATGGAGGTGGTGGCGGCTATGGTGGTGGCGGCTATTGTAGTGGCGGCTATGGAGGTGGCGGCTATGGCGGTGACGGTTATGGAGGTAGTGGTGGAGGCAGGACAACAATCTGCTACAACATTGGCGGCAGCTATGGCGGTGGTGGTGTAGGATATGGCGGAGATGGAGGTGGTTACGGAGGTGGCGGGTATGGGGGAGGCGGCCGCGGTGGCGGTGGCTATGGTGGTAGTGGCTATGGCGCCGGCGGTGGTGGTGTCGGCGGTGGTGGCGGATGTGGTGACGGTGGGTATGAGAAATAACTCCATTGCTACTGATCCAAATAAATACTGGACCTTATGAAGCGTTAGCCAACCTTATGTTTACATTATGTACACATCAAAAACCCTTCATTATTCTCAGGACAAGAATAATAGTATTCTGAGTTTGATGTAAGGCTATATATAAAAGTCCTTAAATGTACTGTAGTACAAGTGAAAAAGTAATTATAATGCAGGAATAGTCACAAGACCATAAAAAATATACGATATCTGTCTGTACTTGACATCACGTAAAAAAAGACATACAAAAACAGAACAAAATAAAATACTCTTATTTCATGAGCGTATTTTTATTCATCACGTAATACCTAAATCAGTAATAAACAATATTAGAAACTGCCCACATCAGCCTGGCGTCTAATATCACACAGGCTGGCATAAAAAATTGTAGTACAAGTTGTCTTAACCCTATTGGCTGGATAATTATTATAAGGAAGTAAAGTTTAAACGAAAAGCCTGATTATATTACTAATATGGGGTCACGGGGCTATAGTAATTCTAACCAATGCACCAGGCAAAGACGGGATATGATAAACAAATTGGTGACACAAACATTTATCTAATAATAATAATAATAATAATAATAATAATAATAATAATAATAATATTAATAATAACAATAATAATAATAATAATAATAATAATAATAATAATAATAATAATAATAATAATAATAATTAAACTAATAATTATAATAATAATAATAATAATTTCATAATGAAAATCTTGAATTACAACTGGCTTCATCCTCAATAATGAAGAATTCGAGATGCCATTGCTCTAAGCTTCGTTAGGCCAGTAGAATGTTTGCCCTCCCAATGTGTGTGAGGCTCATCTTATGACATCGACCACGCCATATTGTGCAACAAGGGGGCTTCGTATGCATGAGGCTTGACGAAGTAAGGGATCTAACAGCAAATCTGCTTAGGGAAATATGCCACGACGTCATGGTGGAACCGCCCTCCTTCCATTGGACGGTGAGAACCTCCGTCACAGGACTTCAAACACATCCAACGAAGCCCGCGTGGACGCGGGGACAGCGAGCCTTTTTTAACATAAGGATTTTTGATCCCATGTCCGCACATCACCGCAACCTAGCTCTCAATGCTGCACACAGGAGGAACGAGAACGACAAGATTGGGGCCTATGAGGAGAGAATTCATAACGTTGATCAAGGCAGCTTCACTCCTCTGGTGTTCACAACCTCGGGCGGGATGGGACCAAGTGCAAGATGCTTCTACGCCAGACTCGCGAATGTGTTATCTGAACGGAAGCAGCAGCCCAGAAGTTATGTTACCTCCTGGTTGACATGTCGACTGTCCTTATCTTTGCTTAGGTCTGCATTGCTTTGCCTCAGGGGAACGAGAGCATCGGCCCCAAAACCGAAAACAGTCGCAGATATCGACTTTGAGGCAACAGTCAGTGATTGCCGCATAGATCTGCGGCTCAACTAACACAACACAGCCAGGGTAGCTACTTATGTATTAGGATAGTTAATCTTTAGGTGATAAAATGGCGGCGAAGGTGTGGCCATTGGGGGAGGCTGGAAGCCACGTTAAAAAAAAGTAACTCAATTATTAATACAATCAACGTGGATCGGTGATATAACTTAAGACAAACATAGATCTAATATCATGAGAATAAAATTATAAGAAAATTGACGACAGTGAGAAAGTTCATTCATTATTGTTGTATTCAAAAACTTCACGTGCCAAGTCTTCATTCCTACACCTGTGAACAACCTTAATAAACTATGAAACACATCTGTTCTTTCTTCACATTATACACAATGAATGACAATGTTTTGCTTCCTGCCACGGGCTAAATTGCGGAAATGTTTCAAAACTTGTTACTTGCCACATTGTAGAGAGTTAGTGATTTACTCTCTGTGTGTTGTCACGGTGGCCAGGAAGATTAAGATGTCACGTCACTGTGTCTGACATAATATTTGTCTTTAAAGAAATCAATTACGCATGTGAGAAAAAAATATTGGAAAAATAGTAGTTATAGTATATAAACCAACTCAATTTGCTTTATGACCACTTTATTTACTCGTTATGTTGTTTCTTGTTTTCTTACATATTAATTATCAACGGTGATTTCCACACTACTAAATCCTTACCGATACGTCTGACTTGTTTGTTGTTAAAAAAATATATATATTCTTATATCCAATACCTTTCATCACATTTGTTTGTATTGTAATAATTCTACGACATAATTACTTATTTTAATGATGTATCCAGATCACAGAAATAAACCAACGTTTATTGTTATTATTATTATTATTATTATTATTATTATTATTATTATTATTATTATTATTATTATTATTATTATTATTATTATTATTATTATTATTATTATTATTATTATTATTATTATTATTATTAGTGTAAACACTTTATGAATAAGAATTTTGCTGGTTCGTACTGTATTTGTAAAATATGCGGTGTATAAAACTTCCTTGAACATTAAAATATTATTTCCAACATTCTCACAGTTTATGATAAACAATTTTCTTTTATATTTTCAAAAGTTTTCTGCTGTTGAATCATAAACATGAGATGATAGTTTCAAGTAAACTATTGCTGATTGATTTTCAGGCGGATGTGTTGATAATTAGTCTAAATTTGTTAATAAAAACCTTGAAATACTAATCCGTTGAATATTACGCCAACGCCTTTAATATAATCAATTACCCCATTGAAAGAGATATCTTGTCCCTACAACGACTTAATCCATCGAGTACACTAATTTTATCCCTTGTGTAAAATGACTTAATCCTTTGAATACAATGACTTAACCCCTCTAGTACAATGACTTAATCCCTCGAGTAGAATGACTTAATCCTTCCAGTACAATGACTTAATCCCTCTAGTACAATGACTTAATCCCTCGAGTAAAATGACTTAATCCCTCGAATACAACGACTTAATCTTTTGAATGCAATGACTTAACCTCTCTAGTACAATGACCTAATCCCTCTAGCACAATGACTTAACACCTCTAGTACAATGACTTAATCCGTTTAGTACAATGACTTAACCCCTCTAGTACAATGACTTAATCCCGCTAGTACAATGACTTAACCCCTCTAGTACAATGACTTAATTCCTCTAGTACGATGACTTAATCCCTCGAATACAACGACTTAATCTTTTGAATGCAATGACCTAACCCCTCTAGTACAATGACCTAATCCCTCTAGTACAATGACTAAACCCCTCTAGTACAATGACTTAATCCGTCTAGTACAATGACTTAACCCCTCTAGTACAATGACTTAATCCCTCTAGTACAATGACTTAACCCCTCTAGTACAATGACTTAATCCCTCTAGTACAATGACTTAATCCCACGAATACAACGACATAATCTTTTGAATGCAATGACCTAACCCCTCTAGTACAATGAATTAATCCCTCGAGTATAATGACTTAATGCCTCGAGTGTGATGTCTTAACCCCGTGAATACGATGATATATTCACTTGAGTAGGAATGATATTGTACTCTGGGGGTTAATTCATTGTACTCAAGGGATTAAGTCACTCTATAAGGGAGTTAAGTCAACATGTTCATAGAATTGAATAATATTTTAATGGCATGATTAATTTTACCGAGGAAATTGTTATCGTACTCAAGAGACTAAGATATGTTTAAATGATGTTCTCTACAAAAAAAAAAACGGATTCAATCAGTCAGATAAAAAAAAAACGAAAGTCACTGTGCGTCCTGACTCAGAAAGCTTCATCAGTATTGTTATCGAAGGTAATTATACGATTTTTATTAGAGCGAGCGGATAAATGACGAAACAATAATCACAATGAAAAAAAAATCTTTACCGTGGTAGCGCGTGTCAAGGGCTGGGCGAGGGGCGCTGTTGCTGGGAGGTACAGTATATATAAGCTCTCACCAACACATCTCTTCATCCACTTCTTGACTTGGCTTCAACCTGACAACACCGACAACACCAATATGGTAAGATTTAGTAGAAATTTGGGGAGATAGTTGCGCTAGTCAAATAAAATATTAAAAGTGGCGTTCCCGTAGTGAATGGGTTAAAACACTCTTTAGATAAATTGAGTAAAAAATCAGAGTACTGTATTTTGTTATTTTGTGTTAAAAAACGTGGACTTATTGTGTATCTTGTGTTGCTAGTGTTTCTACATTCAAGTGTAGACACCAAGAAGAATATGATAATGTTCACTTACTTGACTTTAACGTTATCCTCATATGAATTATAAATTGTGAATTATAAATAAAAAAATATGACTGAACACTAATAATCAGTATAAATTATAAGAAAATTCTACATATATCAAAATTATTTTGCGAGTTAGCAAATTTAACAATATAAATTGTTTACAGTACAGTATGATAACACCATCAGTCATCTTTCATAATGTAAGTTTATACCATCAAAGTTAGTCACGATTACACCAGCGAGATTCAGCGAACTGTTAAAATCAACTTACCAAAGCTTTCTTTATTATGCGAATCCAACCTGAAATGCAGCAGCAGTGTAAGCAGGAGGTAATGTCTAAATGCAGTGAACCGAAGGATCTGTTTAACATTCTAACATTCTACGTTTTATTGACTTCAACTGCTCTTTGCATAACTTCTTACGTGATTAACCAATATTCTTCAGTGGAATGACTTAATCTAAATGGGAAAATTAATTTGAATTTCATACATGCAGATCACTGCTACTATTGGGTAACTCATGTAAGTCATGGAGTCTTTTGTTGTCGAGAATAAGAGTTCGTGAACTGCGTAAACAACCATGGTAAGTGAAACACCTTTGATATCAAGCAACCAAAGGTGTCGGTAAAATTAATATAGAAAAGTAGAAGTTTGTATATATATATATATATATATATATATATATATATATATATATATATATATATATATATATATATATATATATATATATATATTTATTTATTTATTAATTTATTTATTTATTTATTTATATAATTTATGATCAAGATAATAATAGTACTGTACACCTTATTCGTTCAAACACTTCATAATACGATACATAGAGTCAAAAGTATTAATGTAAAAAATCATTTTGGAAATTGGTGAAACTTTTTTGTTATTATAGGAGTATTTTTGATAAAAAATATTATAAACTGGTTTTCTACACAATTTCAGAAGTTGGTGTTAGTGTTCGTGGGTGTGGCTCTCATGGCGGTGTCAAGCTCCGCTATGCCGGGTGGACGTGGAGGTGGCGGCGGCGGTTATGGTGGAGATAGTGGAGGCTATGGTGGTGGAGGCTATGGTGGTGGTGGCGGAGGTTTTGGGGGTGGTGGCGGCGGGGGATACGGAGGAGGTGGTGGTTCAGGAAGAGTATGCTACACCGTCGGAGGTGGTGGCAGGCGGCTATGGTGGAGGCGGTGGCGGCTATGGAGGTGGTGGCAGAGGCGGCTATGGTGGAGGCGGTGGCGGCTATGGAGGTGGTGGCGGCTATGGTGGTGGCGGCTATGGAGGAGTGGTGGAGGCAGGACAACAATCTGCTACAACATTGGCGGTGGCTATGGTGGTAGCAGTGGCGGTAGTGGCGGCTATGGCGGTGGTGGTGGTGCGTATGGCGGAGGCGGTGGTTATGGTGGTGGAGGCTATGGTGGAGGCGGTCGCGGTGGTGGTGGCTATGGTGGTGTTGGCTATGGCGGTGGTGGCTATGGCAGCGGCGGTGGCGGTGGCTATGGCGGCGTCGGTGGTGGAAGCGGCGGCGGTGGCGGATATGGTGGTGGTGGGTATGGGAAATAACTCCATTGCCACTGAAATTAAGCAAGTAAATATTGTACCTTATGAAGTGTTAGCCAGCCTGGTGTTTACATTATGTACACATCAAAAACCCTTCATTATTCTCTGCACAAGAATATTAGTAGTCTGAGTTTGATGTAAGGCTATATTAAAGTTCTTAAATGGACTGTAGTACAAGAGAAAAGTAATTACAATGGAGGAATAGTCATGAGACGATAACAAATATGCAATACCTGTCTGTACTTGACATCATGTAAAAAAAAAGAAACATACAAAAACAGAACAAAATAAAATACTCTTATTTTATGAATGAATTTTTATTGATCACGTAGTACCTAAACCAGTAATAAACAATTTTAGCAACTGCCACATCAGCCTGGCGTCAAATATCACACAGGCTGGCATAAGACATTTTAGTACAAGTTGTCTTAACTCTCTATTGACTGGATAATTTTTGTAAAGAAGTAAAGTTGTAACGAAAAGCCTTATTATACTACTAATATTAGCTCACAGGGTTATAGGAATTCTAACCAGGGAATAATAGATTTTTAGCCTATATGAACATGGGAGGTCAGTGTCTCCTCAATGGTCCAGACTAAGAGGGGATATGATGGACCAATTGGTGATATATAAAGTTATATCTTATGTTTAAAATGTTGATATATTAGTGTATTATAAACTAAGCTTCCTATGGCTTGAAGTTCTCATTTGTTGATACACTTTAATAATAATAATAATAATAATAATAATAATAATAATAATAATAATAGTAATAATAATAATAATAATAATACTGATGATAATAATAATAATAATAATAATAATAATAATAATAATAATAATAATAATAATAATAATAATAATAATAATAATAATAATAATAATAACAATAATAATAAAACTAATTCTATTAAAACTACTACTACTACTTTTTTTTTTAAACGTGGCCTCCAGCCTCCCCCATTTGCCACACCTTCGCCACCATTTAATTATCTTAATATTAATTATCCTAATACATAAGTGGCTATCCTATCTGTGTTAAATTAGTTGAGCCACAGATCTATGCGGCATTCAGTGACAGTAGTCTCATAGTCAATATCTGCAGCAGTTGTTGGAGTTGGGGCAGAAGCTCTCGTTCCCCTGAGGCAGAGCAAAGCCGACCGAAGGATAGAGAAAGACAGTCGACATCTCATCCAGGCTGTAACATAACTTCTGGGTTGCTGCTTCTGTTCGGAGATCACCTCCGCGAGTCTGGCGTAGAAACGTCTTGCACTTGGTCCTATCCCACCAGAGGTTGTGAACACTAGAGGAGTGAAGCTGCCTTGATCTACGGTTTGAATTCTCTCCCCATATGCCTTTCTCTTGTCGTTCTCGTTCCTCCTATGTGCAGCATCGAGAGCTAGGTTATGGTGACATGCAGACATGGGATCAAAAATCCTGATGTTGAAGAAAGCTCGTTGTCCCCACGTCCAGAATCCTCGAGCACTGACGTCCACACGGGCTTTGTTAGATGTGTTTGAAGTCCTGTGTTGGAAGATCTCACCATCCAATGGAAGGAGGGTCGGTTCTACCATGACATCCCGGCAGATTTCCTTCAACATATTTGCGGTGAGGTCCCTTACCTCGTCATGCCTCATGCATTAGAAGCCCCCTTTCTTGCATACCATGGCGTGATCGCCATCATAGGAAGAGCCACACACGCATTGGGAGGGCAAACCTTCTAATGGCCGACCGTACCTTAGAGCAATGGCATCTGTAAATTCTTGTTGATTAAGACTGAAACCATTTGCCCTTATCGGTAGCGTAGTTAACTAGTTCGAGGCGCCCACCTCCTGCGCTATAGCTACTTTTTTTCACATTTTCTGGTACCTGCAGCAACAGTTGCTGCAACTTATCATTTTGGCAGTACTGTCGATCTGTCATAATGGACCGACGAATCTTGTTTACCTCAATGGTATCCACTTCCCCTGTTGCATTCTGGGCTATTATGTGGTCAGTAAGAGCTGCCGTGAGCTTAAGTGAATTTTGATGTTCAGTGGCAGCAATCTCCTTTGGATTTGTTAGTCCCATCCCTCCCAGTCTTGATGGAAGTGCAAGAAGTGCTCTTTATGCTGGGGTTAAGTCAGGGTGTTTCACTAATTTAGGGATGAAATTGACACTGATAACTTCTTCCAGAGGGTGGAGCTACGTACTCCATCTTGAAGTCTGCAGTGCCAATTACTGGGCCTAGGTGTCTTTGGCCGTCCTTAGTTATTTTCACCTCAATTCCGCCAAAAACCTCCATTGCCCGTTCATAATGTTCTGGCTTCACGATGAGGAAGGACTTGCTGGCGTTTGGGTGGTACCCTATTTGTGGACCTCGCGATGTTACCAAGTCCCACCACTTTTTGATGCCCTCCACTTTTCCTGCTCCGGTAAGGTCATCAGCATATGCCACTTGTTTGACCCCCGTAGTTCCAAATTTTATTTCTTGTTGGAGCACTGATAGGCTAATTGCATACATTGCCATTGCAACAGGGTCCCCCTGTGTTGTTCCTTCGGTTGACTGTAAGATGGTATCACCTCTTAGAGCCTTGTTGTTTACTATATAGAGGCCTGATGGATTCCTATACGAATTATATAATAATAATAAAAATAATAATAATAATAATAATAATAATAATAATAATAATAATAATAATAATAATAATAATAATAATAATAATTTTATAATGAAAATCTTAAAATATAACTACGAACATTTCTCTTCATATTTCACACAAACTTTGTGACCGCGACTAGTATCACCAAGGCTTACAATTATAGGTAGTTATTTATATCAATGGTATTCTAATATTACAATATCATAATCTGGTCCCCAAAACTTTAGAATAAAATTTAGACTTTCTGGGTTTGCTTTTATGGTTGGTGGAGGTGGTTCTGAGATACTGCTCCCATCTACCCTTATGAAGAGTAATAATTGATGTCTAGATGTTTAACTTTATATCCAATGTGTTAGACAAGTCCCTTTACACCTGGAATAATAAAAGTATATTTATTTACCCTTTTGTACTTAAAAAAAAATATTGTAAATGGTAAGAGTAAGTATTGGAAGTGGATACCATTCCCATTATTTACTGTAAGTAGAACAAGGTATATAACAAAGTAGGTGTAACATGGAACATCTATATTGTTAATTATATTGCAAATGCAAATGAGCTTTACTAACATCCTGTATAATGAGTATATGTTAAATTCATTTAAACTGACATATATTACCCGAAACCTCATACGGATACATATATGTTACAGTATAGTATAATGGAAATATACATACATTTGGAGCATAAAACTGATCGAGTAAATTCTTCTTATTTTCTTTACTCGAAATATTCAGTAATTTGTTGATCATCAGAAGCTTCGGTAAACATCTACTGAGCAATAAACCAGCTCCCTGATTGAATTATGTTAGAAGATTATCTTTGAATTATATTTTACAACTCCAATAAACATATTAATGTTTTGTATTATAGGTTTATTATATATCATCATATCCAAAAAAAGATGATGAACGTCGGGCCTGTTGCTGGTTTGATGGACAGACATGAGGAGCGAATGATGGAAGAGACTGACAATCAAAAGAAGACATCGTACTAGTTAATCTGTGATTCTATTGATAAAACGGATAAATTTAAATAATAATGTTCACTATTGTTAATGATGAGGTACTACTTCTGTTACTAAAACTGAATGAGCTATTACGCTTAAAATAATTTTTGTCTGACAGGATCATATGGTTGGAAGGAAGGGTGGGCATGAAAATGTATATTTCAATTATCTGTTCATAAAATATTAAGTTCTAAGGCAAATTTTATTATTACCTAAAGCAACTGCACACAAGAGAGATAAATATATGATTACTTTAACTAACAGACAAGATAAAAATAGACGTCTAAAATAATAATAATAATAATAATAATAATAATAATAATAATAATTATTTCAAACATGTTATCTTTATATACATACATGGTTTATGAAACATTAAGAAACATAACATAATACTTTCTGATATAGACATTTTATCATCATGACCAAAAAAAACTTTATAAACTCAAGAACCATATTTGTAATTTAACGTGAAGAACTATATGAAAATGCAATAAATATGAAACAAAAAAGACTCCAATATCATTATCTATGTATTTCATTATAAATATATTTTTTTATAATTCATTGTAATAGGTCGTTAATAATTCGGAATACATTAAAATCATCTATAATTCATACATTTTAACGTGATACGATTTTTCTTCATGATAAGTCTCATGTCTTTTGGAAGAAGATAGTAATGTATAAATGAATTAAAATTAATTAGCTCTGTGTGAAATTTTATGCACCTTATACACATGATATATAATTGCGAAGGTTTAAAGATATGCCCTTCACTATTACGACTACGCAAACATATTCATGAATAGAATCCAATGATATACAATAATTTTATTAAATGACTCAAACACAAACGTTCTTTTCGACACATCATTATATATACCTGAATAAATAAAAACAAAAACTTATATAATTCATATTAACCGTCTGTTCCATCAACAAAAACAACGAAAATTTATGGTGCGAGTTGATGACGAAAGAATGATGTTGCTGAATTAAATATTTACAATGGTTCTACTCGCTCTAAGGCCCATGTAACCGGGGGGTGTGACGGGGTTTCCGGAGGAGGTATAAAAGTTCTCACTAACATATCTTTTCATCCAGTTCGTTTAGGAAGTTGGTCGTCACAACACCAATATGGTAAAGCTTTATGTAACGTGAAACTTCCAGTTTCTGGTTAGACTTCAAACACTAGTCGTTTACTTTCTATATGCTAGATAATATTTCTCTGTGCAGCTAAACATAATCGAGAGAAACAATAGTGTAGTCTTCATTTACTTTTCCTATTTTACATCACTGTCGAGCTGTGTGTTTCGTATGCCTTAGTACTCGTATTAGTAAAACATTATTAAAAACACACGGAACTTCTCTTTACAATATCAAGTAAAAGTTCATGGAAGTTCAACAGTTTCATAATCTTGCAGTTCACAATATGAAGCTCAAGATAATCAACCCCCATCTCTACAATGACTTAATCCCTTAACTACGTTGACGTACCTTTTTATCACCAGGACTTATATCAATGAAGCAGATAAAATTGTACACAAAGATTTAATATATCCTAACCAAGTGGAAGTAGATTTCTCTCCGATATTAATTAAGTAAAAAAATGCAATAATATTATTTTTAGAATCATAATTCATATCGTTATCTTT